TTTTTTTTTTTTTTTTTTTTTTTTTTCATTTCAAACCCCTCCCAAAATTAGGAGGATCTATAGTGTTTCCACACTTCCCCTCCAGCATGACTCGAACCCAGGACCTAACGGTCGTGGGTGGAGGTGCTTTTACCAACTGAGCAAGCCTCAGATTGTAATCATACCGAAGATCGCCCATGTAATTTTGATGTTGGTGTTATCACTTCTTTAAGTCTTATTTTAATTGTACACTGCTAATGGGTGAGAACATGAGTTATCTATCTTTTTGCGAGTATGCTTGCAGTCTGCGCATGCATGCATTTTTTTTTTCTTTGAGAAAGATTTGCGCATGTATGCATTTTCTTTTCGTTTTTATCTTTGGAACTAGGGGCTAGGGTACAGACAGACAGAAAGAAAGAAGAATGCTACTTATTGAAAGGACGAGTAACAGTCAGTACGTTCTGTTGGCTTAAAATTAAGGATCAGCTGAGCTAAATGGATTGTGGTCATGTGGTGGTCGAATAAGCCAACCAACAATTCCCAAATGATATCAGACTATTAACATTGATGAGGGGATTCTCCTCAAATGTAGGTTCCTATGCTTACTTCTTGAAAATGTCCTAGTTCTGATAGTGGCATACTGGAGCTTATGAAAGAGGACTACATTGCGTTTAACAATAATCCAAGAGGAAAATATGTAAGGAAAGCTGTAAGAAAAATTATAAAAGGAAGTTTAAAGGAATGAAAAGGAGTATTAATAAATTGTATTAATGTTTTAATGATTGGATGATGTCCTATATTGGCTGGACTAGTCCCCTGCTCAGTTGGGCTGGTCGAGCCCTCTGTTCGGTTCAGTTACCCCTCAATTCTGCTAAACTAGCCCTGAACTGATCTGTTCCAAATATACTTGGTGCAGAAACTCTTGAAGAAATAGAGTTTTGATGTCAAAGTGTGCTGCACTACACTCTGCACTGGCTTCCCGTATTAGTGTAGATGTCAACCCTATTCCACAAGTAGGTGGAGACATGGGGGGTCAGAAACCTCAACAGGAAGCCTTTCTCAATGAAATAGAAAGTTTAAGCATTTGAAACTTCTTAGGTTTCATGGAGGGTTGGAAACCCCAACATGAAGCCTTTCTCGAAAAATATAAAGTTTAAGCATTTGAAACTTCTGAGGTTTCATGGAGGGTCGGAACCCCCAACAGGAAGCCTTTCTCGATGAAATAGAAAGTTTAAGCTTTTGAAACTTCTTAGTTTTCAAAAATATATAATTTTATATCCAACTGCGTAAAGGTGGACACAGATCTATGAGGATGGGTCTTGCAAGGAAACATGATTTCATATTGAGCAGTTGACTAGTACAAAAAAAGGGCACTGGTTCACGCATTACAGCAAGGGGGATCAAATATTAACTTTTCTCGTGCCTAAGTTACTCTCAAATTGTTTTCCATCTGCAAGCTTGTGTTACATTTTAATTAGGTTCCAAGTACAAGATTATGAGAAGCAATGGAGCTACAAATCAGAATTTCAGGTCCTACCTCCTCCTCTGTATTTCCTGCTTCTACTTCTGCTAGTAGCACTGTTTCTTACTATCCCATTTGTTTCTGGTGGGTTTTTTACAAGGAATGTTGTCTCTCTATTCCTGTCCTCCAGTCCTATGGTGGTTAGTCTTTGTTAGAGTGTGTTAGAGTCCCACATTGTTACAAGTTGATCCATCTGCTACAGTAATGGGTGAGGATGCTTTGTGTGATCAAAAGCTAGAAAAAGATTAGGATTACCTGTCATGTGGTTTGTGGACACCCGAATCAATTATCCATTTATTTCAATACGTAACAAGACATGTTTCACCAGATTCAACAAGAGTAGTAATTGAAGCAGATTCCTTAAGTGATTTTTGATACTGGCAGAATCTAACAAATTCTTCCGCAGAAACCAGAACGTACCCCTGGCTTTTTGAATTACTTCCATCATCCATTTTCTTATCCATCACTTTCTCAATGAACCCAACAAAACTTAGTTACAAAATAGACAAACCAATGCTAGTGGCAGAGTCAAACTAACAATGGGAACCAAACATGAGAGACCAAACGTGTATCACCAATCCAGAGCAGTAAAACCAACACAGGGCCAAATAATCATCGCCAAATCAAGAAACTAACAAAGAGTACCAAACAACCAAATCAACAAAATATAATCGAAGTTTCAAATTCTGACTGAGAGCAGAAATGAAGCAACAGAACCTGGAATAGATTTTCACTTTGCAACAACAGTTCGATAATCAGAGCACCACCTGATATACATCGGAAATAGCAAGGCGATGCCGGAGAGATAAATCAGACCTCAAACAGAGGCTTCAGGCGACGTCACGTGCTCGCCGGAAAAATCTGGTCCGAATGACTTCTTCGACGCGTGTAATTCACGTGCTTTTTATCCGGCCACTAGGTTCTCGAGATATGATAGAGATCCAGCGAGACAAAGCTTACTCCGGCGAGACAGAGCTCAACTCCGGCGAAGCCACAGATGTGGCTTTGATACCATGTTGTCTCTTGTACGACCGAAATAACTCTGACATGTATTCTTTAGCGTTATCACTTAGAATACGTACGGAAGCGTTAAATTGAGCTTTGACTTCAGCACACAAGGTAGAAAAGTGAGTAAACACTTCAGAGCGGCTCTTCATAAAGTAAATCCAAGTCATGCGAGAAAAATTATCTACAAAAGTGACAAAATACTTATGCATAGTTTTTGAAACAACAGGACATGGTCCCCAAACATAATAATGCACTAACTCAAAAGCTGACTCTGCTCGCTTATTAACCCCTTGGAGCTAACGAGATGCGATAGTGTTTTGCAAGTCGACATGACTCACAATCCAATGAGGAAATATTCTGAAACTGAGGACAAAACTTCTTCAACGTAGGTAGAGAAGAATGTCCCAATCGACAATGTGCTTCAAATGGAGACACGGCACTGGTGCATGCAATAGACCAAGGCTCCCATTCATAAGAATGTAGAGATCACCAGATAAATGTCCTTTAGCAATAATATGCTTCGTTGTAAGATCATGAAATAGACAATGATCGGAATAGAATGAGATAAAACAATTAAGATCTATGGTGATTTTACTAACAAAAATCAAATTAAAAGCCAACTTTAGTAGACTTAATACAAATGACAGGGTAATAGAAGAGGTTGGTTTTAAACTTACTTTTATGTTTCAAAATTTGGGAGCAGAATAGAAGATTATCTATTAAAAAAGATTGGGAACAGATTATCTACTAAAAAAAGAGAATTTGGGAGCAAATTGAGTTAGGTACATATCTAGGTGAAGTGCTGATATCATACTCCACCAATCTACCATGGTTAAGCATGTAGGTCTCAATTCTCCCGTGGAATACAGAAGAACTAATTTTCCAAATTTGTGATCTCATTTTCAAGATACAGTTGAACTCCAAGTTACCTGAGGTAGTGTTTGGCAAATGGCTTCATTAGAAGTTGCTATAAAAAGTTTTATCTATCTCTTTTTAGTTTTAGCATAGAAGAATTTTGGATTTGAAAGGTTCGACTTAGTTCAACTTTTGCTTAAAAACTAGATTCTGTTCAATCTTGTGGAAAGATGGATTGAGTATACTTTATTTTCTCAAATCCCCTATGACCTTAAAGAAAAAGTGTACCAATCATCAGTCTGAAAAAGTGCGAAGTTCTGCTTGGTCTCTGGTAACCAGACTTCTTTTGTGTCTATAACCAAACTTAACCACCATAACCAGCTTTGGGATGAAACATTATTTGATTAGGAGCACATATATAAGTTGCTACTTTTGGTATGTTGAGAGATATTTATGCACTGTGCAAATGCCTGCATTGCTTTTGGTTATAGGGAAACTAAGGAGTTTCGGAAAAAAAACTGCTGATGATACTTAAAAATTTAAAATTTAATGATATTGATGCTGCCTGAAGATATAAAACACTTAACAAATATTGCGAGCACCAAATAGAATCCCTCAATCACTTTTAGCTCTTGAAAATATAATTTGCATTGAGATATGTGCTTTATGTGGTAAAATTACCACAATGTACAAGAGCTTTCATGTCGTCTTTGCTGGAATTGCATGAGCTAGAGCAAGCTTGATTCTTCTTGAAGTTACGGCCTCATTTGTTTGCTAATAAATGTTCAAATCTTAATCATTCGGATCTCAGTAATTAAGTGCGTTTGTTTTTAGGTCTGAATTTTAATCATGCAGATCTCAATTATTAAGTGCGTTTGTTTTGTTAGCAACTACTCAATGGGTCTGAATAGATCTAATAAGACCTATAACAAAGTTTTAATATCATCGAGATGTTCTTGATTCAAGGATTTCTATAAAGATGACATTTCACCACAACTCCATCCACTTTCACTGCAAACACCACTACCATTGCCGCCACACACCATTTTTAACTCCATGGCCGACGCCCACTATTATCAACTACCACCACCACCACCCCCAACCATCCTCAACCACAACGACCACCACCACCAATCATCAGAGTCAATTACCACCACTAGCCACCATTTACAATAATCACCACCAACACTACCGTTAACCTTTACTTTCAGCCACCATCACCACTAGCTACTGCCCACAACCACCACTATTAGTCATCACCACCACCGACCACCATATAGTTTTTTTAAAAATATTTTGTTGATATAGTATTAGATTTAGTATTTTATTTGAATTTTTAGTTATTAATTTTTAAATAAAGACTAGTTCTATATATTCAGATGTTGAGAAAACAAACAGTCTTAATTATTTAGTACTCAAAACTTATTACAACATCTTTAATATTTAGATATGTATTCAGGTTCAAACGTCTTAATCTTAATACACATCTTAATATTCAGATGTATTCAAATTCAGACATCTTAATTTGAATAGAAACAAGCGGGGCCTAAACTTTTGATATCACTAGTCTGTGAAGAGTTATATGCTTTAGGAACATAGCTACCTAGTCTTTTTATCCAATCATAATTGGTGGAAATTACACCTTCAGACTAAAGTTAAAAGTAAAAGAATGCATGTTGTGGGCTTATCCCACATGGAGCTGTTACCGATGTGCAAAATATCATTTCTTTTTCCTCTTAACTTTATGAATTTGGAGTCCTGATTCAGTGATCCAGTTGTCTCTAGCATAGGAAAGATTTTGTTGTCGTACTTAATGTTAGAGTTGCCAAAGAAGAATTGGTCCTTTAAGGGAAAGGGTATTTCAAATTTGAATATATGTGGCTTCAGCATGGTGGATTCAATATGACTATTTTTAGAAATGTTGGATGATTGTGAAAAATGATATTCTGACAACATGTAGATTATTTTCATCGAGAAGGGTCAATTGAGAGGAGCTTCAATGCAACATTTATAGCTCTCATCCCCAAAAAGAGAGGAGCTCTGAACATAAAAGATTATAGGCCCATCAGTCTATTGGTGAATTGGGGAATGTCTATAAGATCATAGCTAAAACTTTAACTGAAATATTAAAAAGGGGTTATGAATAAATTGGTGTCGGGCAATCGAAATGCCTTCATAATAGGAGGACAAATTGGAGATGCTTAACGGGTGGCAAATGAATGTCTTGATTATTAGTTGGAAATGAAGAAGAAAGGGGTGATATATAAGTTGGAGCTAGAGAATTCATGTGACCATGTTAATTGGTCTTTTCTTCTTGACATTATGAGGCAAATGAAGTTTGGTGAAAAATGCATCTAATGGATTAAAACTTGCATTTCTACTGTAAGATTTCAGTCTTAATAAATGGGAGTCCAGAAGGTTTTTTAAGTTTCAAAGGGGACTTAGACAGGGAGATTCATTGTCTCTTTTTTTGTTTGTTTGTTTTGTTCTAGTAATGGAAGTCTTAAGCAAAATGCTAAGTAAAGCTTCTAATAGTGGATGTATAAAGGGTTTTGGGATTGAAGATAATGGAAGAAACATTTTGGAGGTCGGTCATATATAATATGCGGATGACACTCTGGTGCTCTATGAAGCTGATAAATGGCAATTCATGTATGTGAGTATAATTTTGCTTGCTTTTGGGGAAATTTCTGGTTTAAAGATACATCTAAGAGTAGTGTGTTCTATGTTAGTGCTGAGGAGTATATAGAAGAGGTTGCTGATATATTGGGTTGTAGTATTGAAATTTTCCTTGCTACTTATCTGGGATTGCCTTTGGGAGACAAAAGATGTGATGTTAGTATGTGGCAAGGAGTTGTTAATAAGCGTGAAAGGAAATTATCAGCGTAGAAGAAGCTATACCTATCAATTAGAGGAAGATTTATTTTGGTTAACAGTGCATTGGATGGGATTCCAACTTATTTAATGTCTTTGATTCCTGTTCCATCAGAAGTGGGAAAAAAGATTAACAAATTGAGGAGGGATTTTATTTGGGAAGGAAATGCTGAGAACAGGAAGATTCATTTGGTAAATTGGGAAAAAATTACAAGATGTAAAGAAGAAGGGGAGGGAGGGGGATTAGGGGTTAGAGATCTAAAAGTGCATAATAAGAGTCTCATGCAAATAGTTGTGGAGATGGAATGATAATAGAGAAGCTATCTGGAAGAATGTTATACATGTAAAGTATGATAGAGAAGGTGTTTTGGGTCCAAATTAAATATCCGCATGGACAGTGTTTTTGAGAGCGTGAAGCGCAGTAAAGTGACAAGGGCTCGGTTCGGTTAAAGCGTGAAGCAAAGCGAAATTTTAGAAATACCAAAATAAATCGTAGAGCACATGAAAAAAGAGAGAGAAGAAGACAAATCGAATTTAATTAAATTAACAAACTGAAAAAAAAGAAGAAATAGAATAATATAAAAATTCAATTTTAAATTAACAAAGCGTAAAAAAACAGTAGAGCATCTGTTAAAAAAACAGTAGAGTACATGAAAAGAAAGAAGAGAAGAAGATAAATAAATAAATAAATTCAATTAAAACTAAGAATTGAAACAAAAAGAAAAAGAAATAATTTAAGTTGCAATTAGTAAATTAACAAAGTGAAAAGAAAGACACAGGATTACACTGAGTTTGTTGTTGTTGTTGTTGAACAGATAGACACAACGACGCACACAAGAGAGAAACAAAGTGATCATTGTTTTTGATTTTATGGACTTGATAGACTGTCTTTGTGTATCATCAAGTCCCCTTTGTAAACTTCTTGGTACCTTGTTGGTACATTTTCTATTATTAAAACACCTTACCTTATCAAAATAAAGAAAGAAGTTAATATGGAACCTCACATAATGTTATAACAGACATGAGTTTGACATTGATTTTGGACACTAGCTTAAGGTTAGCTATATTTCCAAAGCTTTGAATGTTAAAAAGTAGAGTATTTCATTTATGTATGTCAGATTCCAGCCCAATGCTTAGAAATGGTGAGACTGGAGATTGGATTGGAACATTTGAAGGACATAAAGGAGCAGTATGGAGTTGCTGCTTGGACACAAATGCTTTGCGTGCTGCATCTGGCTCTGCTGACTTCTCTGCGTATGTAAATCTCTGTGGCACTTTCTATCTCACTTTAATTATCATGAACCCGTGTATGGCCCTCCCAAGGTGTTTTTGTAACTATCATTTTGGGGGGGGGGGGGGGGGGGGGGGGGTTGAACTAAGCAGCCAATAGTCCTGTTGTTGATGGTTGTTTTGGAAGTCATGACTTGAATTTTCAGCATCTCTTTTCTTTAGAAGTTGTTCTGATGTCATTCTTGTATATATTTAAGGCTATATTTTCTATATGGATAGCATTTCAGTATTCATAAATGTGCGAAATAATGAAACGATATAGGCTGAGCCTGAATTTCAGGATTTCTTATTAGATAAGCTAAAGTTGATTCAATAGTTGCAACCATCTCAACTTACGGCAAAAAGAAAAGAAAAAGAAAAGGCTGAAAGGATCTTGCTTTTTGTATGTATGCACTTACTCATTGGTGTTTTAGCCCAGTATGACTTGTTAACCCAATGTTTGGTCTGAGAAAATTAATGTAATAAGTCTAGGACTGATTCTGATAAGATGAGTCCTACGTCCTGCACTTCCATTGTACAGCTTTAGGCTTCTTAATAGGTTTTCCGTACTGTTTTTCACTCTATTGCTCCTTTCATAAGGAAAAGATGGAGGAATTAACAAGTTTAGTAGTGCCTCTGTTGAAAAATATGACGTTTGTAATGTCATTTTACCACAGGAAAATTTGGGATGCGTTAACTGGGGATGAACTGCATTCTTTTGCGCATAAGCACATTGTTCGAGCCTGTGCTTTCTCCGAGGTATATAGACCAAGCTCCATGCTACGTTTGTGTTATAAAGCATCATTTATTTAATATTGCTGAACTTTCCACTTCTATTGCTTTTATTTTTCTGGAACAGGATACTTATTTTCTACTTACTGGTGGAGTGGAGAAAGTTTTGCGCGTATATGATATGAATCGCCCTGATGCAGCTCCTCGAGAAGTGGCTAAGACTCCTGGATCAGTCAGAGCTGTTACATGGCTTCACAGCGATCAAACAATTTTAAGTTCCTGTACTGACAGTGGAGGTGTTAGGTATGGTTTTGTCAGTTCAACAGAAATATGCCAAAATTCTGGTCTTATGATCTCTTCGAAGTTTCTATAGGATGACTACCTTTGCGTTTAGGCTGGCATTCTTTATTGAAAAATACCCAGTATTTGAATTGGGTTTGCATTCCTTACTAAGAAGCTTCTCCCAGAGATACCCCCTACCTTCCTTGCTCTTTCTTCTCCTTTTTCTTATTTGGTTGAGGGAAGGCGTTTCAAAATTTTACACGTTGCTGCTCTTGTTTGAGAGTAGCATATTCTTGTGGAAGGGTTTTGATGGCAACCTTTATTAGTACAGAAACCTTTTTTAATGTGATCGTGTGTTCCTTTATTGTGAGTTCTCAAATGATAGGTTTTTTGGCTGCAAATATGCTGCCTTCCTTGATCTAGGTGGATACACCACCCTTGCACAGTCAAAAATGAATAAAACATAGGTGAAAGGCGAAAGTGAAACCTCTACAATAATGGTCATCTGGTTGCTGAGTATTGGGAATATGTTCTGCAATTTAAAATAATTGTTGACAGAGTATTTCATGCTGGTGTGTGTATAATGCTCATATATTGATGTCCGTCTGAAGCAGCTTGTGGGTATTCTAGCATTGATGTATGAGTATTGTTGATTGAATTCCTTTTTCCCTTTGAAGAGTTTACCCCTTTGTACAGTGAGAAATCCTAATTGCTTCCAGAAAAAGTCAGTATAGCCACCTTTACTCTTGCTCTTGTATATTTAATCATTTGATATTGAGAGATCATAACAGGGTCTCTAGGCATCCGTTGTGTTACATTAATTAAAATTTTTATATATGCAGACTGTGGGATGTGAGAACTGGGGATATAGTTCGTACGCTTGAGACAAAGTCCCCAGTGACTAGTGCTGAAGTGAGTCAAGATGGTCGTTACATTACAACTTGTGACGGATTCAGTGTCAAGTTTTGGGATGCAAATCAGTAAGTTCACTACCAAAATTTTCCCTATGAAAAGGGATTTAATAGGTCTATGCCTTTAGTAATGTTGCTTATCATTATCTTTTTGAAGCTTTGGATTGGTGAAGAGCTACAACATGCCATGCACTGTAGAATCAGCTTCCTTGGAACCAAAATATGGGCTCAAATTTGTTGCTGGAGGAGAAGACATGTGGATTCGTGTATTTAATTTCCACACTGGTGAAGAGCTTGGTATGTGTTCCAAACTCTCTGCATCTGCAAAAAAAAAAAATAGTTATGTTAATATGATGTTAAGGATTTATTATACTTTGGGTCAGTCAAGTTTCAGTTGAACTTGTTTTTTTTGGGGGTCTAATATACGACTAGGCAGCATGCCTAATGGTTGTTTTTATTAATAACCCAAATTAAAAAACATCCACTACATAATGTTCAAAATTAGAACTAGCAACAATAAGAAAAGCTATAACCAATAGAGTCAATACGAAACTCTTAACTTGGTTTTACACAATGAGCTAGTAAAGCATGCTAAAAATTGAAAATTTTCATAGCTAGAATCTGGCTCAATGTACTCCATCATGCTGCCATATCTCCTTATCATCCTGTGGTCATTGTATCCTCCTCGAACTGATTCCCTAAAGCACGAAATGGTCGTATCATGCATCATGTGAAAATTGCATAAATATACCATGCAAAACCTGTATAGTGGCAGCAGCAGTACGCTACTCTAGCCAGATGATGTACATTTTGACCATTTGCTGGACTCCTCCCTTCTTGCACATTGTTCTTCACATATCCGACATAGAATCCATTAGGCAGATTCAGCATGTTTGAATAAACTTGTTTGCTTCCAATCATCATGTTTCAACCATAATCATATTTCCCTTGTATGCAATTATTGTTCTGATCCTCAGGTTTGGACAAAGTGACTTATCCAGATAAAGGATTTTTCCCCCTTGTACTGGTAATTCACCAAAATTCTGGAACACTATATCACCTGCATGATCAAAGGCAAGGTCTGTGATAAAACCAGCTGTGTGTTGCCTTCTCTAAATGTATGATGTATCTGCACATGTTGGCCCCTTTTGAGCTTCTGGATGGCAGATACAATTGTAGTTATACTCCATGGAACCTCCCATATACCATCCAGAACCTTCTTTAGTACCAGAGAGTCAGTCTCCATAATGAGAGGTGTCAAACTGATGCTCCACACAGAATTGTAAACCTTTCTTGACTGCTAAAGCTTCTGCTAACATCGTTTCCTGGAATTCCACAGCCTTGGCATATATTAATTCACCTTGGGAGTTTCTGACACAGAATCCTATAGCACTCCTACCAGGATTGCTTCTACTGGTACCATCTGAATTACATTTATAGCTCTCGGGAGGAGGAGGTGACCAGTAGACAATCTTAGGGGTTGTTTGGTTGTGGAACTAACGGGATAGTAGGGGGATTAAATAGTGACGAGATTATTTAGTGGATATATTTTTATTGGTAGATGTTTGGTTCATTGGACTAAAAATGGGATATACGGGGTATAATATTAATATAAAACATGTTTTTGGTATATCTAGATAAGTTGGGATAAACTTTCATTTTCAATTTAACCTTGGACTTTTTAAAGGACTTTGGGGGAAGAGCCTTGGAAAAGGGCATCTTTGTCATTGTATTGTTTTATCCCGGGATTAAGTAATCCCGGGATTATTATCCCACCCTCAATATGGGATAGAATAATACTGCAATTGTGGTATAAATTAATCCCGGATTCGAAAATTCAACCAAATGTGGGATTAAAAATAATCCCGTACCTAATCCCGAGATTATCATCCCTTATCCCACCAACCAAACAACCCCTTAGTGCTTAGCACTGGTTTGTAAGCTTCAAAGAAAGCATTCATATCAGGCCATGATCTGGGGATAGATTGGAGCCAAGGATACCTGTACTTTGCCAACTGATATAGTAAGTTATTGATTTCCTTAAACCATTCTAGTAAAAGCGACCCTTTCCCCGTGCCTTAAAGCATTTCTCCTTTTCCACAATTGCCTTAACATGATTGATGGAAATGCCTGGTGCAATGGCTTCAATTTAACAACTGTCTTTGCATTCCACCAACCCATGATAGCAGCTTTTAACTGGATGGGAGGAAAAGACAAACCAGCAGTCCACAGAATAATTCCAAATTCTAATAGCAACTGCACTTGTTAAGAAGGATGTGCTAAAGTATCTTGTTGAGGTGAAATACAACAGCTGCATTTTGAAGGGTTAGCAAACTGCATCCTCATTAGAATATCATCTGTTGGTAATTTGGCCTTTCACAATCTCCACATAAAGAATGAAATTTAAAAAGTAAAGTCTTTTCACCCACATTGGTTCATAGTAAATTGTACCTCTTCCCCGTGTCTAATATACTGCCAAGCACTCTTCACAGTGAACTGTCTACTTGCTGTTAGCTTCCACCTTGCTTTGTCAAAATGATCTCGTTCATAAATCAGCTTAACATTATTCAAGATATGCTCAGCAATCTCCTCAGATACCAGATGTCTAATTTCCTGTCCAGTCTCCATTTTCTATCAAATCTGCTCTTCTTCAATAATATGCTCAGCAGGGACCACATGATGTAGTCTCCCAATTGCGTCCAGTTATCACACCAATAGGTTGAGAAACCACATTGTTGAGAAACCACATTTCACTTCCCACCATATTTCTTGTTCTATAAGATCTCTAGCTGAAAACATCTTCTCCCACTGTACTAGTGTAGGAGGATCTTTCTTGTAGCACTTGTTCCACAGAAAATTTATCCACGATTTTGTGGTTCAAAACTCCACCATAATTTAGAGAACGATGCAGTTGACACATCAAATAATGATCTAAAGCCCAGCCCTACTTCATTTGTAGGTAGACTGAGACTGCCATGTAGCCTAATGCCTACGTCTACCTTCTTCCTTGTTACGCCAAAAGAACTGTGAGAATATACGGGAGAAAAAATCTATTATTGATATTCTATTTAATTATAATACAATGAACCCTATTTATGCAATACATATCATACTCCTATTCTATGTACGACTAGGACTAATTTATATAATTTACATAACTATCTAACACTTCTCCTCAAGCCGGTGCATACAAATCATATGTACCGAGCTTGTTACATATGTAACTAATACGAGGACCAGTAAGGGACTTGGTGAAAATATCTGCAAGCTAATCATTCAACTTCACAAACTTTGTAGCAATATCTCCTGAGAATATCTTTTCTCTAACGAAGTGACAGTCAATCTCGATGTGTTTAGTTCTCTCATGGAACACCGAATTTGATGCAATATGAAGGGCAACTTGATTATCACACACAAGTTCCATCTTGCTGAGATCCAAACTAGCTCACATGTTGCCTTAGCCATTGCTCGATATTCTGCTTCTGCACTAGACCGAGCAACCACATTTTGTTTCTTGCTCTTCCAAGACACTAAATTACCTCCTACTAAAACACAGTATCCAAACATAGAACGTTTATCAGAAGATGATCGTTCCCGGTCAGCATCTGAGTACCCAACAATTTGCTCATGGCCTCGATCTTCAAACAATAATTCTTTGTCTAGAGCTGATTTTATATATCGAAGAATGCGGACAACTGCATCCCAATGACTATCACATGGAGAATCCAGGAACTGACTTACCACACTCACGGGAAAGAAAATGTCAGGTCTAGTCACTGTAAGGTAATTTAATTTACCAACCAGCCGCCTATATCTTGCAGGATCGCTAAGCGGTTCCCCCTGTCTTGGTAGAAGTTTAGAATTCGGATCCATAAGAGTGTCAACAGGTCTATAACCTGCCATTCCTGTCTCCTCAAGAATGTCTAAGGCATACTTCCGTTGTGAGATTACAATACATGAGCTAGATTGAGCAATCTCCATACCTAGAAAATACTTTAATCTGCCCAGATCCTTAGTCTGAAAGTTCTGAAAGAGATGTTGCTTCAACTTAGTAATACTATCCTAATCATTGCTGGTAATAACAATATCATCAACATAAACCACCAAATAAATACTGAGATTTGAAGCAGAGTGTCGATAAAACACACAGTGATCAGCTTCACTACGAGTCATGCCAAACTCCTAAATAGCTGTGCTGAACTTACCAAACCAAGCTCGAGGAGACTGCTTTAGACCATAGAGGGACCCGTGCAACCAACATACAAGGCCACTAGACTCTCCCTGAGCAACAAAATCAGGTTGTTGTTCCATATAAACCTCATCCTCAAGGTCATCGTGAAGAAAAACATTCTTAATGTCCAACTGATAGAGAGGCCAATGGCGGACATCAGCCATGGATAGAAAAAGGCGGACTGGTGCTATTTTGGCCACGAGAGAGACGCCCAAATATCTGAGTATACCCTTTGGCAACAAGACGAGCCTTAAGTCGATCAACCTGGCCATCGGGACCAACTTTGACTACATACGCCTAACGATAACCAACAGTCGATTTACCCGAAGGAAAAGGAACAAGCTCCCAAGTACCACTCGTATGTAATGCAGACATCTCGTCAATCATAGCCTGTCGCCACCCTGGATGAGACAGTGTTTCATTTGTAGACTTAGGGATGGAAACAGAGGATAAGATGACACAAATGCACAATGGGGTGATGACAGACGATGGTAACTTAAACCGACATAATAGAGATTAGGATTAAGTGTAGACCGTATACCTTTCCGTAGTGCAATCGGTTGACTAAGAGGAGACAAGTCTGCAGTATTAGCAGGGTCAAGTGTAGGACGTGATTCAGCTGGGCCTGATGCTGGGCGCGGGCGGCGATGATAAGTCAGGAGAGGTGGAGTTGTAGAAGGTTGAACTAGACTAGGTGGTGGAACTGGAGCTATATGTGGTGGAATTAGAGCTGTAGGTGGTGAAGCTGGAGTTATTGAGGAAGATGAATTGGAGATAGTGACTGAATCTCCAAAAGATGGAACTGGTAGCACATCAGAAATATCTAAGTGATTACCTGGACTTGTGAAGTGTGATTGAGTTTCAAAGAAGGTAACATCAGCAGACATAAGGTACCGCTGGAGGTCAGGAGAATAACATCGATATCCCTTTTGCGTTCTCGTGTAATCCAAAAATACGCACTTAAGAGCACGAGGAGCTAACGTATCTTTTCATGGAGTAAGATTATGAACAAAACACGTGCTCCCAAAGACACGAGGTGGAAGAGAGAACAAATGTAAGTGGGGAAACACGACAGAGAATTGAACTTGATTCTGGATGGCTGAAGATGTAAGAATTGCATCCCCCCAAAAACGCAACAGAACATGAGATTGTATAAGTAGGGTATGAGCAGTTTCAATAAGATATCTATTCTTTTTTTTTTCAGCTACCCTATTTTGTTGGGATGTGTACGGACAAGATGTTTGATGAATAATCCCATGAGAGTTCATAAGCTGCTGAAATGAGGAAGACAAATACTCTAGGGCATTATCACTACGAAATGTGCGGATAGAAACCCCAAATTGATTTTGAATTTCAGCGTTGAAGGTCTGGAAAATGGAAAACAACTCAGATCAATTTTTCATCAAAAATATCCAAGTGCACCTGGAATTATCATCAATGAAACTGACAAAGTAGCGGAATTCCAAGGTAGAACTAACCCGACTAGGACCCCAAACATCTGAATGGACTAAAGTAAAAGGTGACTCTTCTCGATTATCAAGACGCCGAGGGAAATGAGAGCGGGTATGCTTACCGAGCTGACATGACTCACACTCTAGGGTGGATAAGTGAGATAAACCAGGTACCATTTTTTGAAGTTTTGACAAACTGGGATGTCCCAGCCGTTTATGTAATAAATCTGGTGAATCATTAACATGACAAGTTGTTAAAGGAAAACAAGATGTGAGTCCATGTGATTTTGCAAGGATAAGGTAATAAAGTCCATCCGATTCATGCCTGGTACCAATGATCCGCCCTGTACTGCATTCATGTATAAAAACAAGGTCATCAAGAAATAAAAAGAGCATTTAAGTGATTTGGCTAAGCGACTAACGGTTATGAGATTAAAAGGACTACCGAGAACATAAAGAACTGAATCTAAAGGTAATCGAGTTTCTATTGGCCTAGGTTGTTTAAAGATGCCTATGAGTTCGTGAGGAGGTGTGATAGGTGCCAGAGAACAGGAACAATTACGAAAAGGCATGAGATGCCATTGCATGGTATTATGGAGGTTGAAATTTTTGATGTATGGGGAATTGATTTTATAGGTCCGTTTCCCTCGTCCAATGGGTGTAAGTACATTTTGGTGGCCGTTGACTATGTGTCGAAGTGGGTGGAGGCCATTGCTCTTCCTACCAATGATGCCAAGGTTGTGGTTAACTTTGTGAAAAAGCATATCTTTACAAGGTTTGGCACTCCGAGAGTGATGATAAGTGATGGGGGTACCTATTTCTGTAACAAGCTATTGGACAATATCTTAGCGAAATACGGGGTCAAACATAAGGTTGCAACCGCCTACCATCCTCAGACTAGTGGACAAGTTGAAGTGTCAAATAGAGAGATAAAGCAGATTCTGGAGAAGACGGTTAGTGCAAGTAGGAAAGATTGGGTTGCAAAGCTTGATTATGCTCTATGGGCATACCAGACCGCCTACACAATTCCAATCAGAGCCTCCCTTTACAAGCTGGTTTATGGGAAGGCATGCCATTTACCGGTGGAACTTGAGCACAAGGCCTATTGGGCGATAAAGAAGCTGAACTTTGATGCAGAATTAACGAGTGAAAAACGATTGATGCAACTGAACGAGTTTGATGAGTTTCGCTTGCACGCGTATGAGAATGCCAAGTTATATAAAGAAAAGACCAAGCGCTGGCATGATAAGAATATCTACAATCGCGAGTTCGAACCGGGCCAATTGGTTCTCTTGTTCAATTCGAGGTTGAGACTCTTTCCGGGGAAGCTCAAATCGAGATGGTCGGGCCCGTTTGAGGTAGTGAGAGTCACTCCACATGGTGCAATTGAGCTGCGCGTCGTAGGTGGCAAGAGAACGCTCTAAGTGAACGGACAAAGAGTAAAGCACTATTATGGAGGTGACTTTGATCGTCAGAAGTCGAAGGTGTTACTTGCCAATGGTTTGACGAGATTCTACGTCATGCTGGGACGTTAAAGCAAGTACTTGTTGGGAGGCAACCCAGCTTTACTGCTTTCTTTTGTTTTTATTTTTATTATATTATTTTTGTAGTGTCTGTTTTTATTTTGAAGAATTATAAGCATAGGAAGCAAAGCCATTGGAAGAGTGCAAAAGCGAGCTAGATGGTGAGAATTAAGTGTGGGGTGCCCACACAAAGGACCATGCCTGGGGGAAGTCTGAGTACCTCGTGAGCCGTGATTGCTTCGGCCTTTGGCCTTTCAGGGAGTTTCTTGTCCACCCTCGTTATTGTTTTGCTTTATTTGTGCATTGGGGACACTGCATTCTTTTAAGTTTGGGGTGGGCGAATTCCTCTAGATAATTAGTAGTAGTATATTAGTAAAAATGTTTAACTTCTTATTTTGATTTTAGCTTCTTCTTTTTTTATTTTCGTAGTTGTGTAGTATTTTAGTAGCTTAAATAAAGAAAAATCGATTTTTTTTAATAAAAAAATTGGACTTTTCCCGATGATGGATCTCCTAAATAGTTTTTTTGAGGGATTAAAGTCTAAGCAAAATCCAAAAATATGTCTTTTAGTTTCCTTTAGGTAGAAATAATCCCCCGTGGTTTTTCTTTGTGGCTCGGTTCTTTTTCATGGGATGTAGTTTGAATCGGGTAGTAGTTTTTTTCTTTTATTTTATTGTTTTAGAGTAGGACTTAGGAAAAAATGGAGGAAGAAAGATGAGATTCCTAGGCGTCCTTGACTTGTTTGATAGTAGCATATTTAGGGTTTGGCATGTGTAGTATCTTCCCTATGTGCTAAAATGGCTTATGATGGCTTGGTTATTTGGATAGCATGTTTTGTGACGCCTGCGTCTCATTTTCTTGACTTATGTTCACTTTGTGCTTAATGCTTAATATCTTGTGGCTCCGTGAATACTAGCATTAGTTTGAGAGTCGGAATGAGACCGTTCTTAGTGAGTCATGTGCCGAAGTGAGATTTTTGTGTAGTCCATGTCATTGTACTTGTGTCTAGAACTTGCCCCGTATGTGAGTCGAAGCGAATGTTTAGGTGGGGCTTGGTTTGAAAAATGATTTTAGGCTTTCTTTGATCTTTTCGAGCGTTATTGCTATCACAAATAAAATCTATCCCTAGTTAACCATTTTGAGCCTATAGACTTTTATTTGGCACCCACATTACAAGCTTATACCCTTTTTATTCTTAA